GTACAATTTCTCCAAACTTTCTGATGCATAAACCATAGGTTATTTGGAACAATGCATGCAACATGGAGATAAACGTTCAGTAATATTTTCCACACATACATCTAACAGCAGAGGATGATTTGTTTTCCAAGACCAGGAAATACTGTCTTGGCCGAAACAGGTTGCTGTTGTTGCCATTCATACTGCATAGAAAGAAATCCTTGAGACAGAACACTGAATCTTCCATTCATCTGGTCTTTTAATGATGGCAGTTCATAAATATGAAGGCTAATTAGCACGTTAAACTTCTATTTGCTGAAACATATCAAACATTTTAATTTAGAAGAACCCACACATCTGACTCTAACTTTCATCTGATCTAAATTAGAAAAGTCTAAATAAAAGTACCGTATTCACAGTCATTTAACATAGTGGACCTAGTAAATGATTCCAATAATAAGGCTCCCAACACTAAAAAAACAACAACTTTGCAATAAATGAAGCAAAATAAATATAGGTAGCATGGTTCAAATGAGCTAACATGTCAAAAAACAAAAACTATAGATGTGGGGTTCATTATGGTAGCATTACTATGATTAGATATGTTAACCCTGATACTAATCAAGTTCAGTTATTTGTAACTAGGTAATAGAGACCTCTGAAAACTCAGCAGAACAGACTTTGTATTGAGCATTCACTGCTTTGTTGCGCAACATGTTAAATATTTTTACTCAGATGACTGGGTTCAAAGGTGCTTATATCCTAATAAATGTACTCAGTATTTCCTTCCTTCCTTCCTATGCACTGAGTCTGTCTACTTAGTTATTATTATTCATTAGGACTATGCAAAAAGATGCTTCAAAGCATAGACACGCAAATGGAGCACCTCTTTTGGAATGACTGAAGAAGCTGCACTTTTCAAGCTCACATGGCTGCTTCAAATATTGATCCTGGTCTGTGTGCACACAGCTGCTTCACTTTTTTCTCCAGAACGCAAAGTAATTGTGCATGCACATGACCTGCAGAGACAATCAGGAGATAGTTCCTCCAAAGCAGCCTTGCAAGCAATGATGATGCTTCAATAGTTCAAAGGCATTTATGTAGTCCTCTTATTCAACAACCCACTCGAGACCTTGAAAAGCTTGCCTCTTTTCTAATATTTTAACAGCTGTTTAAGCATCCATTAAATTCTCCTAGCAGCATTATAAAATAAAGATGGGTTCTCCAAGCTTGCAGGAATGTAATCTTTCCCTTCCTAGTATCCTGCAAATGTGTTAGATTTCAATTTCCACCAACCTTGACTAGGGCCAGAACTGGTATAATATATTTGGAAGGGACCAGGCTGTGGACTTTGGGCTAAGGTAAAAAGATCAGTTTTAATAATAAATACAGTTTACAAAGACATTATTCACAGCACAAAAGTCTATTTGAACAATCAGGGATGGTTAAGTAATAAAGAATGATAGATGAAAATTAAATTTCATTTGTCTTTGTATACACTATTTGAATGTTGATTGTTCCCTTTGAGAATACCTGTTCTGGACAGGGAAGTTTCCAACAAGTTTACTGTGTCAACGTGGGTCTACATATCTATTTATCTAGCCAGAATAGTATTGTTGACTTTACTTCATGCCACTTTTCTCTTCCTACCTCCAAATAATTTTCTTCCTGAGCGAATGATAAAAATACTTGTTGGACTGGTGTGGTAAAAAAGACTGTTCAATAAATACACAAGGAAATAATTTAAAAATAAATAAATAAACAAGGCAGTCCAATTGTTTCACTGTATTTCTTTCCTAAAACAGTATTTTCAAATTGTAGTTGAAGTTCAGGGTGCTCTGTACCCCACCTTAAAACAGAATGTTAAAAGCAGATTCACTCTCAACAAACATGTCAGGGGATACAAGATAGCAGTGGGCAGGGACAAAGCACTCTGGGCATGAATTTTCCAACATGTTTTTCTACATAAAATCCATTCAAACATGTATAAACACATTCTAATTAGTTACATACATTCCATTCTCTTTTTACCTGCAGACAGACATTTTAATTAGACTTTCAATTAATAGGACTTATAGGAAACAGTGGAGGATATTTTCATATTTGATTGAAAGATGGGGAGGGTTTAACACAATTGACCTTTGTCTGCAACTTCCTCCCTTTGAAATAGTTCACTATGTGATAGCGTTGCTTTGTGTTAACTTCCACTGATGCCAATGGAGGTTCTTCTCAGGCATCTTGTAGTCTGGAAAAGTTAGTATTGAACTGTACATTGCTTTTGCTTTGTAATTAGAAAACAGGGTTCAAGGCCTAGGAAAAGAGGGTGCATTAAGTGAGGAAGTTCATTGGCTGCAGGGTGTGTCTCATAATACTCTGATCCCATAATATTGCATGTTTATCTGTTATTTTTTATGTAAATATCACACCTTAATTACTTGCATAGTAATACAATACTACAGTATAAATTACTTCATTTATTTATTCAAATTTATTAACCACCCAATTCCAATGGACTCTTTTATTTGTACAAAACTCATAATGTTATACAAGAAGGGAACCTCTAATTTATTGAAAGGGAAAAGGGTTTGTTGAGGGAATTTACTGTGTATACATTTTTACGCATCATAGGAACAGACTGTATAATGAGGCTGATACCTCAGAGCTAGATGTGCATTGTATATATTTGGAAAGAAACAGCACAAGTTGAATTCAAGCCTAACAATTATTATCAGAGTAATGATAGAGTCAAGATCCAGTTTGGTACAGTGGTTAAAGGTACCAAGCTAGAAACCAGGAAACTCTTAAGTTCTAGTCCTGCCTTGGGCATAAAGCCAGCTGGGTGACCTTGGGCCAGTCACTTTCTCTCAGCCTTAGGAAGCAGGCAGTGGCAAATTTAGGGACACTCATAGAGGTGTTAGTTGTGACTAACACTAAACAACATACATTGAGACTTCAGTGGGAGAGATGCCATTGCAGGGAATTCCCTTTCCATGTTACCCTAGTAGTATTAGAAATTTGAATTAAATGTATTTAGTTTATTTACTTTACAAGGCTTATGTTCTTATAAAAGAAATAAATAAATTTGCCTGACTCTGAATGGCTTACAGATCTCCAGAACAGTAGTTAAGATTAAAAACTAAACATTACTACACAATATAACTGTAGTGAGTAAAGAAGATGACGCTGACAGAGATATGCAAACTCTGTTGCCAAGCCAACAAGGGGCTGAAGCATTTTTTAGGTCCAAAACAGCCAGATAACCTTCAGAAGCAATTCAGACAGACACCTCCCTAATTCACTGAACTATAAGGAGGGGGAGGAACAGCACAGACTCACAAGATTCTGTTATAGCCAATCTCTATAAAAATAGTTTTACCCTTCCCGTGGAGTTGATTTCTTGGTCTGGTCTACCTAGAGGGGCTGTCAATAACAGTATAATAAATAACATCCCAAATGCTGAGGAGCAAGCCTAACAGGGGGATGTTGTTCCAAAGAAGGGGGGCAGCAGCTGGGAAGGCATGACTCATGGATTCCTGCAAATGACATTCCCTAAGAGTTGGGACCCAGAGGAAGATTTCTCTTCCAGTTCTTAAAGACAGGCAGAAACAACAAGGAGAAGGTGGTCCTGCAGGTAGCCAGGTCCTGAGCCATAAAGGACTTTCAAAGTGACAACTAGCACCTTGAGTTGCACTCAGAAACAAACTGGCAACCTGTACAGTTCTCAGAGCAGAGGTGTTACATGGGCAGACTGACTAACATCCACAATTGCTTGAGCCACTGCATTCAGGGCAGGTTGCAGTTTCTGCATAGTCTTCAAGCACAACCCCATGTGGAACACACTGTAGTAATCCACACTGGAGGCCATCAGTGACACTGAGCAAAATCTCCTGGATCCAGGAAAGGCTGTAATTGGTGTGCAAGGTGAATTTGTGCAAAGCCCCTCCTAACCACAAGTAGAACTAACTAACTTCAACAACTTCAAGCAGGAGCTATATGTCCTGGAGGACTCCCAGAGTAGAAATCAGCTGTGCACAAAGAAACATGACCATATTCAGAGCCAAAGATGGAATAGTTCTGGAATTGGAGGACTTCCATACCCAAAACCACTTTATTTTACTGGGATAGAGTCTAAACATGTCTGTCTCCCATCTAGACCCCCACAGCCCCCAGACACTGGAACGGAACTTCAGTCATACCTCCTGTTTAGCCCAGAGCGAAGCCATACAACTGAGTATCATCAGCATACTGATGAAACCTGACTTCATCCCCATGGATTACCTCATCCAACAGTTTCATGTAGATGTTAAGAGGAGGCATACTATCAATTCCTGTTAGCAGAGGATCTAGGGTTTACCTCTCATCTTTCCCCCAGCTGGAACTGACCAGTTAGGAAGGAGGAAAACTGCAAAAGTGTTGCTCCCCACCAAACACTTATATATAATCCAGAAGGATATTATGATCAGTGGCACTGAAGACTGCTGAGAGATCAAGCAAGACTAAGAGGGTCACACTTCCCTTATCTTGGACCTGCTACAGGTCATCCATGAGAATAATCACTGTGGATTTTGTTCCATATTCAGGCCTGAACTCTGACTGAAAAGGGTCCAGATAATCCACTCCCTCCAGAGCCCTCTGCAACTACAACTTCACCAAATATGGGAAGACCTTGTAATTTAGATATAAATTGTTAAGGTAACGTCTCCTACACCTGTGTGATAAAAAGATGGCATTCTTTTAAAAAGCCTTCATAATACAGGTTAGCCTAATTGGTTGATAATCCAGCAAGAAAGAAAAATATCTAAAAACAGAAAAATATATTGAGGGAACTGACAATGACTTAAAAGTTTTAGATCTAAAAAAAATCACAGAAAAAATAGTTAATATTTCTATTAAAATACTAGAATAGGAAATATTTTCCTTATTAATTTGTATTATGACAGTATAAAATACTTTTAACTTGTAGCATTTCCATGAAATACATGGTGTCTATTTTGAGGAAAGTCATGTCTCAAGATACTTACCAAGCACAATGACGACCGTCTTTAGGAGACTCATCATGGTATCCCGATTCCTGCGTGGCCCTGAACTATGCCTTGACATTCTCATAGTCCTCTGGCGCACGTATCCAAAGATATGAGCATACAAGACCACCATGACTACAAAGGTGACCAAATTGAAAATCGCCCAGAAGACTAAATAAGAGTCACTATAGAGTGGTGCCATGTTAGAACAGTGAGTGAGATCGCAGATGCAATTCCAACCAACACTTGGTATAGCACCCATGACAATGGCCACAGTCCAAATGACCACAATTACCACCACCACTCGCCGATTACTCATCCGCGTATGGAGCTGCATACGGAACACTGTGATGTGCCTCTCAATGGCAATGGCCAATAAATTGGCAACTGAAGCAGTCAGGCTAGTGTCAATGAGTCCCTGACGAAGGAGCCACGTGCTGACAGTCAATCTTCTAGTGTTGGGTCCTGTGTTAAACATCAGGTAAAAATATGCCAGCCCTGCAAAGAAGTCAGCCGCTGCTAAGTTAGCCATTAGATAATAAATAGGAAAATGAAAACGCCGGTTGACGTAAATGGCCACCATAACCAAGAGATTGGCTAGCATGATGAAAACACAAACTGTAATCCCAAGGCCCATCACAAGCTTGCTCACAGTGTTCCATTCAGTTGCTAGATATTTCCCACTTTGGTTATAAAAGAAGGCAATGGTTTCATTGTAGTAGCACTGAGGTTCACTCATGCCTGCAGACTGGAAAAGAACAGAAAGCAGAATTTGAAGTTAGAATGAGAAAGTACTGAAGTGTCAGAGAAAGAAAAATTGCTCCAGAATGTGGAGCAGTTCAAAAAACAAAGAAAAACCATAGTAATTGTATATAATTGTGATTACATTTCAGGACTAAAATTGGGGCTGTAAAAAGTTTGAAAATGATAGTGAGATGCTTCTGTGATGGGTACATTGGTGGAAACTGAGTTCATATAACTTAATAGCAGTTAAGTAAAATATGCTAAATCTCTCAATTTATTGTCTCTTATTTGAAATTTTCCTTGTTGATTGTTAAGATACTTTGACTAATGAATATGGATGCTGGTGAAAGCTACCTACTGTCACTTTCATATTGTGTCATATAAAAATAACAGATTATTTGATAAAATCCCTTAAAGCTGAAATAATTTTCTGACTTGCTGCATGTACCCAGTACCTTTTCCATTTCTTGCACAGTACAACAGGAGAATATTCAAGAAATGGAACTTTACAATGATACTATCTTCACTATAGTCCTCTTCAGATATCTTCTTTCTGTGAAAGTTCTGTAGACAGGAAGCAGGCTACCTCTTCTCACTATTTTTGACAGCCTCATCACACAGATAGGATTTTTTGCAGAGGAAAATTAGCTCTACCCGTGGAAGCGCTATCAAGAATTTTAGAATCTTTTAAAATCAGGATTCTAATATCTCAGAGAGAGCCTCTATGGACCGAAAAGGGTCTCCTTTGCACACAATCCCCTCTATATGTAAAATGTAGTGAGAATGGCCTGAGAGAGGCAGAACATTATTCCCCTTATTCCTATTCATATTTGGTGCTCTCACACAAGAACCCCTGAAGAGGGCGTCTCTCTCTTGCGGAATCTTTTCAGCAACAATTATTCATGATCAGCCTGAAAACTACAGAAAACAGCATCTTTGTCAAAATTAGTGTTGATGGTAGGAATACCCAGATTAATATTGCAATTCCTGATCTTTCTTGATATACAGTCAGCCAGTTGTTTTTTTCCCCCTTTTTTCTTGTCAGAAAGTCAATGGCAGAAAAATAAAACTGCTCTGATTTGGAGTGAACGTGCAGTGCAAAAGGGGGAAATTCAGGCTTGTCTTTTGTTAAGACAGGATGGAGGTATCTAACTTATAGGATGGAGATGGTGGTGGTTGTGAGAGAGGCAGACGCAAATATCTGTTATCACTACACTGACACCTCATTGTCATCCAGCCTCTTTTGGGGACTGTGAAATTTATATATTTCATCTCCTTTCCTCTTCCCATTACTCTTTCACAATGTGGATATTACACTGAAGTCTTTTCTTCTGTTTAAAAATAATGTTCACTTGGACTTTTTACACAGCCCTCCTCATTTCATATATGCATCTCTTCTGCAAATCATTAATTATTTTTTTTAACTGTGTAAAATTGTAAATAATACAGGTTGAAGCTTTATCATAAGTACGATAAAAAAAACAGGAAAACTATTATTTGTGTGTTAGAGATTGGTAATGTGCTAAGAGAATATGTGTAGCTCAGGGTTGAACTGTGGAGTCCTTGGGGTTCTCTGAGCTTGGTTGTTTTCTGCTAAACTTTCAAGCTTAACATATTTTACTTATGGGAAGTAAATAAAATATTTACTGATGGGAAATGTGTGTTTCTCCTGCTGCTGTCCAACATAAATCAGAGAACTATAGTCTGTATTTTGGGGCAATATGAAGTTTCTGGGATCCATTCTGTTTCCTATATTATATCTTAATGTCCATCTAGACCTTGCACTAACTGCCTAAAACTTGTCCTTGGCATAAATGCACAATATATGTGTACCTTGGTGTTCACTTATATTTTCATAATAAATAAATATGAATATAAGAATATTATAATTCTTTGCTTCTTTTTATAACCTTTCTAAGAATTCCTGCTATTGTTGAATTTTTGTCTAGAGCAGTGCTTTTCAACCTCAGCAACTGTAAGATCTAAGATGTGCAACTCCCAGACTGGACAAGATACATAGCAAAGGGAATATATGTCTTACTGACAAAAAAAATTAGGAACTGATACAACTTATGCAAAAGGTCACAGATCTCATTGGAAGCTATGATTACTAACAGCCACTGTCCCTGTTAGAAGCTATGATTACCAATCCACAAACCACTGGTCAAAAAAAAAAGGAAGAAAATGCTGACCTTTCTTACTATTTATGCATTCTGAAATTACTATATATATAAAAAAAACAAATCAAAAAAAGATCGGTTTTCAAGAAAGGGAAAAATAGAATATGTGCTGGGGAGATTTAAGAAGCAACAAATGAGTAGCTTAAAATGCAGTGTCACACTCGGAAAGGAATACTTCAAACCTTTTATCCCTATAGATTATAAAAATGTTATAGCATACTCCCTTGCTGGAGCTGTGTTAAACTGAATCCTCTGGTGGCACGTCTACAAACTTTGCACAAGTTTGCTTGCTTGACTTATTTTTTATCCAAGGAGATATAGTGCAGTGGTAAAGCAAATGTGCTGTGTAGAAGGTTTCCAGTTCAGCCCCAGCAACTCCAGAAACAGCTGAAAAAACTCCTGCCTGGAATATCAGCCAGCATCAATATAGTGGACTAAAGAGATCAACGGCCCGACGTTCTAATATTTAATAATTTAATATTTAGTAATTTAACATTTAATAGTTTATTTGTTAAAACGTTTAAGAAATAGAATAAATAGCTATTGTAATAAAAGGAAAAAAGAAGATAGAATAGTGGATAAAGGACAAAATATTCAATACACAAAGGGTTTAGAATTATCATAAAATTTAAAATTCATCATTCATTCATTCATTAATTATATGCATAGAACGAAATTCATTATATCATCAAAATGCTATGCGGATGATGCAGTACTTCCCATTATGCAACTGCAAAGTGCAATAAGGCAACTGACTAAAACAAAGGTTTTGGTGAATTCTCAAGATATAAAATTAATGCCTAAAAAGCAAAGATAAGACACTTATCCCAAGAAAAAGAAAGCTTTGTGCAGAAAGAGTCAGGTGGCCAGTCAACAAGAAACCCAGTGAAATATTTGGGACTGTATTTGACAGGGAGTAACAAAGATATATTTGAAAATAATTACACCAAGTTATGGAGAGAAATTAATATTTTGAAAGGCATAAAAATTTAAAACTCTCCTGGTTAGGATCAATTGTGACTGTTAAAATGAATATATTACCTAAGATTTTTTTTTTTAATTTCAAATGATGCCAGTTTCAATCCCAGAAAATCTTTTGTAAGATTGACGAAGAATAGTTAATAAATTTATCTGGAAAGGAAAAAAAATGAAACAAAAACTAGTTACAAACTCAGCATTAAAACCGTGGTCCCAGAGAAAATAAAATACTTCTTCGTCCCTGAGAGAGTTTTTTTTGGCAAAGTCACCAATTGATATGGGATGTTAAGAGCTTATGTTTGAAGATGTTTTAATAATGTAACTCTTTATAGTGCAAAAGCATTGTGCATCAAGAGAAAGCACTGCACACATTTATATGTAAAAGAATTTGCATTATATGTAATATGCCAATATTTTTGTTTGCAGAATGCAATACTGTAATTATATTAACTTTTGATTTTTAGAACGCAGATTGAAAAGCAAGAGCATTTCTTGTGTGTGCCAATGAAAATTTCAAGAACAGGACATTATTTGCTTTAAAAAAGGAAACAATATTTAGTCCCCAGAGTCACCTTTTATTTTCAAAGTTCTGTCCCACTTATTGATTCATGTGGGAATAATGACACAGGCAGACATAGCCATGAAGACACTCCAAAGGTCAACAAAGCGCTTGGCAACAGGGTAAAGGAGCTGGAGATGCAGATGGTTTTTCTTCAAAATTTCCTGACAAAGGGCATGGCCCAGAAAGAGAGAAGAATATTGGAAGGGAACAGCTATGTAGATGGTACTAAGTGGGAACTGTTTGCGTACTTGATGCTGGGATATGTTTCTACATTGAGGGACTCCTGGCAAAAGACGGGTTACACCTCACCAGAACTGGGAAGAATGTATCTGGAAAACGCCTTGCAAACCAGATCCAGAGGGCTTTAAATTCAGTGGCATAAGGAAGAGAGCCCAGAAAATAGTATGACTGCTGTGTCTTAGGAACAGGACTGGGAAGGGTATGCAGGCTATGGAGGAACATAATAACGAGCATGTAAATACAGGAAGGAATAAGTCAAGTGATACATCCCAAGGATTTCAGTCCCTCTGCATAAATGCATAGAGTATGGGGAGTTAACAAGAAGAATTAGAAGTCTTAATGCAGAAAGGCAAATATGACTAAGTGGGACAAAGGTTATAAATGAAATGCCAAGACTGAACAGAATAGCTTATTCAAATGGACTAAATTAGATAAAAGGGAGGAGGAGTGGCATTATGTGTGAAGAAAGTACAAACATGCACTAAGATTCAGGAATCTGAGTGTGAAGATCCACTTGAGAGCATCTGGGTAAGAATACAGTATTCATAAAAATATATTATTATAATTATAATTATTTTGTTTTACAGACTATCAAAACAGGCAGAAGTTCTGGATAATGTCCTCCTGGGCCGTATTACAGAACTTTCAGGGAAGATATATATGTGTGAGTTTGGTATGTATGCATGGCTTTGAGTCAGTCTTGACTCCTGGTGATCACCTAGACAAGTCCTTGCAGTTTTCTTGGCAAGGTTTTTCATAAGTGGTTTTCCATTGCCTCCTTCCTAGGGCTGAGGGAGAGTGACTGGCCCAAGGTCACCCAACTGGCTTCGTGCCTAAGGCAGGACTAGAACGCGCAGTCTCCCAGGTTGTAGCCTGGTGCCTTAACCACTGCACCAAACTGGCTCTCTGGATGATGGGTTAGAAAGTGTGATTACCAAGTTTGCCAAAAACACTAATATAAGAGGAATAGAAAGCACCTTAGAGGAGAGATTTGAGATTCATAAGGGTCCTGACAAGCTGGAATAAGAGTAAGACACCAGCAAGCTGTGTTTCAACAAGGACAAATGCAAAGTCCTACATTTTGATCAGAAAAATCAAAGGTATGAGTATTGAATGGAGGGAGGACCATCCTGAGCAGCATACATGCAAAAAGAATCTGGGTATCTTGGTGGATCACAAACTGAACATGAGCCAACAATGTGGAACAGCTACAAAAAACAGGATCCAAGGCTGCATTAACAGAAATATAGCGAAGATCAGATCAAGAGAAATAATTGTTCCTCTCTATATATTTATGCCTATATTTAGAGAGTTTATGTACATCTTAAATACATATCCTGGTGGCTAACAACAATTCAAAAGAAATATATAATAAAATATCAAAGCATAAATCCAAGCAAAATTAAAAATAATTATAATATTAGTTATAGCATTGGGGTAGGATGAGGCTGGATATATGGGAAAGTGCTGCTCTGGGGTGCCATGAGTTTTGACAGAGTTTTTATTGATTCTATTTTTGGTTTGGGGTGGGTTTTTTTTTTTTTACTGTTTTGTATGCTACACAGAGTCATTATTACAAAAAGGGCAGCTATATAAACCTTTTAAATAAATGATAGCTGTGGCCCTATAACAGTCTCACAACCCATCTGCACCTATATCAGGTTCAACTAACATCCTGGCCCAGAGCCTGAGGAAAGAGTCATGTTTTCACAGCTTTCCAGAAGACCAGGAAGGTTGGGGCCCTTGATCTCGAGGGGAGGCTGTTCCATAAGCCAGGCACTGTGACAGAGAAGGCATTGGTCACTTCACACCTAGAATACTGAGGTCCTAAAATGCAGTCTGGTCACTTCATTTTAGACTTCATTGGCCAATGGCTGTAATAAAATGTTATTAACTTCATTTTAGAAAGGACATTGACAAATTAGAGGGTATCCACAGGAAAGCAATCAAGAAGGGGCTTGGAAAGAAAATCTTAGAAGGAACTGCTAGAAGTGTTAAGTCTGGAGAAGAGAAGACTGTGGGGAGCTATGATGGTTGTCTTCTAGTGTTTGAAGGGCTATCATACAGAAGACTGGGCAGAATTGTGTCAGAGTTGATTATTTATTTGGGTGACCTGTATCCCATCTTCCATTCAGGAGCTCAGTGTACATAGCATTCCCTCCTTCCATTCCTCATCCCCACCAACAACTCTGTGAAATAGATTTCTCTGAGAGAGAGTGGCTGGCCCATAGTCATCCAGTTAAAATCCATGGCTGAGAGTATATTAAAACTTGGGTCTCTCCAGTGCCAGTCTTACTGTTTAACCACTGCAACACAGTGCAACAACACAGTGTTGAGAAGACAGGACAAGAAACAATGGGTTTAAATGACATGAAACAGATTTCAGTTGGACATGATAAATAATTTTCTAACAATAAAAACTGCTCTACAATAGAACAGACTCTTCTTTGTACAGGTGTGTCAATAAAGGCCACCAGTCAGGGATGCTTTAGTAATGGATTCCTGCTCTGGGCAAGAAGCTGGACTAGATAATATCTAAGGCACATTCCAACTCTTACATTCTATGATTCAACTGTATTATGTGGATAATGCATCTGCATTAGAAAATTTAGTAACGAAGAAATACTTCATGTGGTTCTAATACACATTTTCCACTACTTTATTAATTAGATTGAATTGGCTTTTCTATATTTGTTTTTGACACAGTCTTCACTTTGTAGAGTTAGCGTAATTCATGTAGTGACAGAGCTACTTACAAATGATTGTTTCAGAATATATCATACATATACCACACGTACATTTTTATCGGCTCTATGTTTTATTGGCAAACACAGACAAAATAATCTGAGGCCACATCCACACAGCTGTTTTGCTGTGCTCCACTCACATCCCAGAACCAACAGGAAATCATGTCAGTTTTGCTGCCCGCATGGTGCCTCCTGTGTACCCAGAACATGATTGTTACCCAGAACATCATCAACCCTAACCTCCTGTAGGAAAAGCCTTCTCCAACCAGTATGGACAATGCCCTGGTTATTCCATTCAGAGCATTCCCCCCCCCATTGTTTTCTTAATTGATACTATTATTCCTTAAACAATGTGTTGACCAGTTGACTGTTTAAACTTTGGACCACCAGATGATGAAAAAGAGATTTTTTTTTTTTTTAATTATGGCTGCCATCCAATTGTTGTCCAGATTTGTGCAGCTAAAATGCCAATGGATAATTACTGCTGAAAAGTTGAAGTTTGAGAAAGGAGTTTAACCATGAGGATGGGTATGTAAACTATAAACTGCCCTAAGAATATGAAAAGAGGAAACAAGGTGGCATGGCCTTCTTGGGAGCAGTGGCCATTGGGAAAAGAATTCCTAATCACCTAGTATTAGGAGTCCAAGAGCTGAGTTCCTGCAACTGCATGCATTAAATTAGGCAGAGACTGATCAGGTTCAAGTTATCACACCCTCTAGGTTGACTAGCTGACTGACAGTTGGAGTTTCAGTGTCCCTTGCAACCAAGAGAGGACTGATGGGGCAGGGAAAGATGTCAGGGAAAGAATGAAGGGGATGGTCTCCCAAGAAACAAGCAGAACTAACTGGAGTCACAACATTGCCAGCAAATTTCTGGTTGCTTCCCCAATGCACATCAATACATTTTTCACTGCCTACATGCACATTTCTGAGGTGGGATATTAGAAAAACACCTTCAGAACATAACACCTTAAGTCATCTATGAGCTGTCTCAGCTGTGGGAGGACACTGAGATACAGGCAGAGGCCTGCAGATGTGTCTTTGAGAAACAGTCAATGGTCTCTTCTCACTCCAGGGCAAGGAGGTTGTGTGGATTGGCCCTGAGATTTTCCTTACTTTGCTAGATCTCTCTTGGACATAGCTACATATAAAACTGCTAGGTAAATAGAATGCTGGGACAATGCAAACAATGGTCCCTTTTGTGGTACACCACTGAGGGCAGGCTAGGCAAAGCTATGAAAACAATTCCAGCGTCCTACTGGATAAAACTTACATCTTGAACACTACTCACTCTATGTATTGTAGTGAGAAGAAAATAAAGGATGTTTGAAATTCTACAAAGTCTTGTTTTTGGAAGTTTCCTTAGTTGTGTTTTGATTTGCTTTTAAAGGGTTTTAATCTTATCCAAAGCTCTCACAACTATATCTTCAGGCTTCTCTTTATTATTTCCTAGTAGCAAAATGTCTGCTTAATAATTGGAAAAAAAATAAAAGATCAGCACTATCATAATTACGGTTACTCCTTCACTAATTTACTGTCCATTCTGGCCATAAGCAAAGCACATGACCTTATAAGCATAAAATCTGAGTTATCTAAAGTTTGACAGTTATGTAGGTATAAAAGATGTATATTAAAGAGCACAGTTGAGTTTAGAACTTTTTCAACTTACTTCAATTATTTGTGGCTGTGTCATCATAAAAAAGGGTACTTCAGCTGAAGGATCCGCCATATTTACCCAGCAGGGTTAATTATATATTTTTAAGAACCCTCTGCCTTCTATGCCTCAGATGTTATGAATAAATTCTTGAGATTCTTGATCAGTTCTCAGTCATGCTGATATTTCGCCCTAAAAGACAGAAATAGGCTTTAAAACCTTAGGAGAGATTAAACACAATTCTCAATAACACAGCCTTTTTACATGAAAAATTATTTACCAAAAATCAAAATGTATTAGAACATATATATTTTTCAATACACAATACAAAATGTTAACATGAAAAAACAAATACAACTTCCAACAGTTTTTTCATTAACTTACAACATATTCTTTCATGTATAAAAATACGTCACAAGCTGCATATTGAAGTTGCATTTAAAAAAATACTTTAAAAAATTAACCCATGGATTTGAATGTCTATTTCTGTATTCTGCAGAAACAGGAAGAGCATTCAAGCAAGAGTTTCCAGGCTGTAGGTTAGCCTTAATGTCAGCAATGCTTCCAGAATCCTAAAAATATTTAGAAATTTTGGTGCAGGTTAAACCTATATTTGTCCTTTTGCCTACTGGAAAATGTAGGGTTGCTAAATGTTCCTAACCCAAACCACAGGTTGGAAGAATGGGAAGAAACACTAGAGCACTGATCTTGCACACTCCTTCCTTCCTTCATCAATGGGGTAAGAGATTAGAAGCTTCTGTTCCTCATTAGCAATAAATATTTTCCTGTTGTCTTTCAGTGAAACAAACTGCTAGTTGAATGAAGCATAGTTTGCTGCATTTGTATGTAAGAGGAACCTATAGTTTGCCACTGATTAGAAGCAGAAGCATCTAAACATTTATCTTCAAGCTCAGATGAAGGGAAGGAGGGAATATGATTCTTATTCCCATCAGATACCACTTATTTCATGATTTAAAGGATTATTTATCTAGACGTCCCACACACTTTTGACGTCCCACACACTTCTATAATATATGGTAGATCCTCTTGCATCCAGGCCCTGGGTTTTAGGATAGTGGGGAGTTTGGAGGTTGAGCTTGTGCTTGTTTTAAGAGAGCCCACCAAATCAGTGACATGAGAAAAAGAAAACTAAGCGAATACCATTCTATTAAACTCCAGCTATTTGGAAGAGATTGCCAGAGGGGTTTCATTTTTCACCTGACCAATTCTGCTGAATGGTACAAATGGTACTAATGAGTGCCTGAGCCTCACAAAATTATTGTTTAGGGCTACAATTAACAGCCTTATATTGAAAAAAATGAGCTTTTTTTTAATATGGTATAAAAAATGTAGGACACGTTTGTACAATTTCTACTCCCTACCCCAAAAGAGTCTTGTGATACCCTTGTGGAGATCCCTGTTCTTTGTGCCACAGACATTCAGTGCTACCATTTTTCTTTGGTTTGCTGTTGGTGTGACACTTTTGAGAAAGGATATTTCTTTAACTTTATTTTTGCTCTGGCCACACCCATGTTTGCATAAAGTCCCCCTTACTGTTTCAACATGGCCTCCAGCCAGAAAAGCAAGCTAAAGTTCAGGCTTTGGCATCAACATCCTTCCCACTTATTTTAGAACCTGAACTGGAACCCATCCCTGAATATGAGTAATTTCTTTCTCTATAGGGAGAAGGGGAAATATGGGAAAGTGAAATATGGTGTGGGGATATTTTTTAAAACCTTCTGGCATGTATCCTTAACCTTAATGCTTATATGCAAAATAATAATGTGCAGATCTTATAATATTTTGCATGCAAACATTAAGATTGAGGGTACATGCTAGAAGATTTTAAAAAACGATCATGTCATATTCTCCTCCTCCCTACATAGAAAGAAAGCCCTCAATTTCAGGGAAGGGATCCAGTTCAGGTTCTGGAATGGGACTGAAGCATCTTGTCCACATCTTTAGGTCTCATAAAAACAAATGTCCTTGAGAACTTTCTTTTGTTTATGATGCAGTTTATAGTTCATATTTAACTATCAAGAAATGTCCTTTATTCTGATATTTCTTCTCTGCAAAAAACATTATGTCTCATGTCCTTTTGGGATTGGAGGGCATATAAACCCTAATCATCAATCAATCAATCATGTCACTCACTCACTCATTTTATTTTGGTCATTGACCAGCAAAACAGATCTTTGAAAAACAGAATAATATTTAACACACCGAATATCAATGCAGCCTATACACCATAGAAACTGACTAGAATAAAACAAGTTATAACATTATATGGCAGTACAACTAAAATTATAAGTTTAAGAATTTAGGGTGTAAAAATTAAAATAGTAATGCAATTGGAATAAAGCAATTAAATGATTATTTAGAATAATAGAATAGTAAAATTACTGACCTAAAATATAGAACCATTATAATGCTAAATTCCATGAAAAAACTGTAATTGATATTATATCTAGAGAATATTATTATATTATTATAGATATTATTATAATATCTAGAGAAAATGTAGTGATGTAGTGTATAAAGAAAAATGATACATAAGGAGTGATTACAATTTAAGAAATGAAAAGTTAGAATCCAATTAATATGACTATTTATATATATTATTAAAATGACTTGGGCAACTATTAATGAAAATGTAATGTAATCAATCATATCAAGTGACAGCAGAGTCAGATTAATAAAACAAAATACAATTTTAAGCACTGCAGTGGTATGAGGGAAACTTAAGTAGTCCTCGCTTAGTGACTGCCTTGGGCAGTGACTTTTGCAGTTACATTGGTGATGAAAAAGTAACTATGCGACCAATGTCTGCATTTACAACCTCTCTCTCAGTCAGTCAGTTAGTACACACTGTCCTGTGTAAAATTGTAAGCATAGTTGTGGTCATGTGATTTTTCACTTAGTGACCGCTTCACTTAACAACTGAGTTGCTGGTACCAAATATGGTCGCTAAACGAGGACCACCCATATTATTTTGCTTTAAACACATTGATACGTTATGTTCAACCTCCTACTTAAAACTTGATATTATTTGTGTTGATAAGAAAAACAGGTTAACAATATTTATGTTATGCCTACATTTCAAACACTATATGTTTTTGCAAGCCGTGTACTCACAGGCCATAATATTGTGTTCCGAAGAAGATGACTATATATTCCTATTTATTTCTCACACCCTCTTTCCTTCCTTTCTTTTCACCTTAACATTGCCCATTTCTGATCCCAGCAAAACTCTCAGCCACCCACTATGTATAATTCTGCTCATTTCGTAGTTTATATCTTAATGTGTTTCAGAACATGCTCCTCTATGTCACACCACTTCACATATGCAATCAAATAGGCCAAAATACATACAACTTGTGAATTACCAGATCAAAAACAGTTAAACAGCTAAGTGGGCAAACACCAGGAACTCAAAAAGGTTCTTATATTTGTGGTCGACTGAATTACAAAATAAGAATGTCTGCCAGTCCTTGGCCAGCCACAATTTCTGCCTGGTGGGCTATATTCAAAATAAGCCTGGCTGATGTAGCTCCACAAAATTTATGAAACAGCAAAAGCTTGCCTCTACAGTGACACGATCCTTGTAAAATACACACTCTTGCTCTGAAATTCAGCTATATTGGCTGAACTTTGCCCAGATATATTCCACTGAAGTTTTTTTATATAACTTGGAAGTTATCATTTCTCTTGGAGGTTTTATAATTCTTTGTGCAAAGACAAGGAAGGAAGGAAAAAAAAAACCCCAACCATCCCAAAGTTAGAATTCAGATTATAAGAACCATTAAAAGACAATATAAATTACCAATTGTTCGTAATATTTAATTATTTACATGGAATAACTTTCAGCCAATGAGATAAAGGTCTATGATGTTATAAATAAAAATAATGAAAAATCTATAATTGGAGCCAGATTTAGGTGCATATAGTGGGGCTGGATGTAATGGACTAAAACAAGTGAATTTCTCTGTTCTCTCTTACCTGTGGCAACTTCTCCGTTCCTCCAAAATGGGAGGAATTTCTCCCAAATAAGGCTGACTAGAGCTTGGGAGAAAATGAGATTCCCTACTAATTGGAGGTACCTTTCATGATCCAAACTGTTAGCCATCCCTCAATATTCCTTGTATCTTAACTTACACAATTCAGCAAAGTCCTCTAACCATTGATGTAGAATTGGGAGTTGGTGAGGAAACTTATAAGGAGAAGGAATGGAGAAATCTGATTCTTCCAGCTTCACTACAAACGCCTATATTTGTATTCAGTTGGCTTTGGTGTGGGTCATGTGTGGAAGGGGTCTGCATCTCTATTTCTTTTTAAAGTTCCAGATGGTTATTAGTTATACAATTTAACGAAGAGCTCCTGTGCAATGAAAAATACACTTGGCAGATTATCAACAAAACACTGATTACTATTATCCTGCCAGTCCCAGCAGGATGAGAGAAATCCCTTCCCCGTGTTCTCATGTTGCATAAAAGTCAAAGAAGGACAGACCTTTATGTCTGGAATAACTCCCTCAAGTCCTGTGGCATGCACAAAATACTCCAACAGAAAGAGGCCTGCCTGTCACACTGCAGATATATTTGCAAATGGGGTAGCAAAAGCCTTCTCGGTATTTCTGATTGCCTTCAAAGTACACTGCAAAGTGAATATTTTCAGTGCAGGAAATGTTGTGAGTCAAAGCCAGAAGAGGCATTCTTATTTCTGCCAGATGTAGAGAACAATCCCTCTTTTCTGTATGTGCCAAAGAACTTAGAGATGAGGAGAGTGACTCCAAATGAAAGCTGGGTACTATGGACAGAATGACTCTATGGATCCCTGACAGGGCAAGTAAGAACTTTAAATAAGAATATATTTTGTTTAATTAATTTGCATCTTTCTGGAATTAACCTTATAGATACCATACCATAATTTGTAAGACAATTACAAAGTTTATATTGTCTACCCAATTTGGTAATCCCTTCTGAGTTTGGGTACCAAGCTGACCTTCCTCTAAAGCAAGGAAAGGCAGCATGTAGTCTTAAGTTCACCCCAAATCCTGTTTCCTATAGCCTGAAGATTTTTGTGACTCTTGAGGCCTCCTCCAACAATCTTGTTGAAATTTGTCAGTGCAATTTCCAAATGTCAGTAGTGCAGTTTCCCACAATCTTGAAGTAAGAAACACAGTAAAATTATAA